AATTATACTCAAAATCAATCTCTCCGGAACCTTTTCAAGAATCAATTTGGTTTTTCCTTTCATAGGCATTTAATCTATTTCTTCTCTAATCAATCTGATGTAATGAATCTATTTTGATACAATGAACCATTCTTCTAATAAAATTAATTTATTTATGATTCTTTAATGAGTTTAATTTATGAGATAATGTTTAAACTCGAAGCATTAAAGTGAGAGTATTTATCATGTATTATGTAGTACGTCATTCATTTTATTCGGATGCTTAGTTTGGTACTTTATTTAACAAATTAAGTTTCTTTGATTAGTGTGAGTAAGTCTAGTTTTACCTACCTGTTTTGAATGAACCTTTTGATCGGTGGAACCGATTTAATTATATGAGCTAATTTATTAAAAATATGGAGAGAAAATATAATAATTTTTAAGATAAAAAATAAAAAAAATATTAGAGAGTTATTTTTATCATTTTAAAAATTTGTAGCTCTCCGTGCGAATTCGCCCCTATCATATTTATGCCGCTCCTTCACCTATATATAATTCCACACTGAAAAGCTAAGAAAGAGTATTATTATTATTATTATTATTATTATTATTATTATTATTATTATTATTTGTTGTGGATGTGATTATTATAAACATTGTGAAAGTGGCACTTTGGATGCCAACATAATTTGCAGAGGAAACATCTCAATCATCGCAGTGAAATACGTGTAGACGACAAAAAAAGTGTCCATTCCACCAATGGCATGAGATTGGGAAATATGGACGTGTCTAAACCACAATATTTCTCTTTTTAGGGTTCATATATATAATACGTATAGCATCTTGACCTAAACGCTTGACTTAATCAATTCAATTCTTCTACGTGAAATCATGTGGTGAATAGGCGACATGATAACTGGACATGAAACATGAGAAGAATGCTCCATCCAGTCCAAAATCATCATCTACCTGTCACATCAGTTAGATCCACCCACAATCTTGTCCATCACTTACAATCCAAAATCGGCTCCATGAACTTTCCGTGTACTCTAGGTTACTGAGATTAAGAGTTCTTGTATTGATATTGTTTTGGAGAGGGATCTTTTGGTTTCGTTTAGAGTGATTTCAATGGACATCACCTCACGATGATTTTAGAGACTGATCTGGAGAGAATTAGACTTGTATATTTATTTTTTCTCTTATTCTTTTAGGATTATTAGAAGTTGGATTATAATCTCTTGGTGTAAGATGAATAATTAAAAGATCGATTTGATTAAGCAAAATCCATTAGCTAAAACTTGACGCAATAGTATTTGACCCCAAGACTTCAAGTTTTGGGTTTAGACCCTATGAATCTTTTATATCACAATGTTTTATGTAAAGTAAATTACTTTTATGATTGAGTAAATGGCCGACATGAGAAAGTTAGGACGTTGACATTGACGGAAATATCACGTTAACAATGGATGCTGTTTTTATCATCTTCTTGTCATGGCATCAAATGGTAGGTGCTCCATCCACGGAGGATTTTTGGCATGTCCAGGGATTGAAGTGACCTGTACGCTCCTGTTTGAGTCTTCAAATTGTAAATTAATATACGGAGGTATATATTTCTTATAGATGAATATATATTTAAAAATCCTTTCCAAAATAAGATGGTGTCAAAACATAAGAAAGCTTTTTGTTTGAACTGAGTCTTTGAGCATATATTTTCCTACAAGATGTAAAAAAATAATTAGAGATCCTCTAACAATCTTTGGCTGACATAAGTTTCCGATAGATGAATGACTCTTAAAATTAATTATTATTTTTTCATTAAAAAAAAGGTTATATAAGCATGATTCAAAGTTAGGATCTCATAATGATCTATTAAAATTTTACCCAACTAAACTGACAAGTGAGTGACATCTCATTTAGGGCCATTTGATCGATTGTTCCTTTTGCACATATGGCACAGTAGGGTGCTTTTCATTCCGAGCTACAACGGGTGAATTCCGATATGAACAACATCGGTGATGTGTGTTGCACGACTAACACGGTATATTCTCCCTTATCATAAAATAAAACAATATTCTTTTATTTTCATTAGTCTGTCATCGAGCATCACCACCGTCGGTCATGTGGCTTCATAGGCTTATAAGTAGCGCCATTGCAGGAACGCTGCTCCTCCACAACCACATGCAAGATGGGTTCCCAACATCTTCTATCCTCTATGCTTCTACTTCTCTTCCTATCAAGCTTCATCCAAATGGCAGCACTTGGCCGTACTCCATCATCGACCAAGGTCCATGAGCATCTCTCTTCCATCTTAACATTTGATGTCCACGAACTAACATCTCAGTGGTCTCTTCTGTGCAGCTGCTGTACATAGTGTACATGGGAGAGAGGCAACACGAAGATCCAGACCTTGTGACTGCCTCGCACCACGATATGCTGTCTTCCGTACTAGGGAGGTGTGCTTTTTTGCACCAAATATAGTTTGTGTTCCTTTCATCTTTCTGTCAGATATGCTCGATTATAGGTTATTCTAATTGGTGATTCAGCAAGGAGGAAGCCGTGAGTTCAATTGTCTACAACTATAAGCATGGCTTCTCGGGCTTTGCAGCCATGCTTACAGAATCTAAAGCACACCAAATTGCAGGTTCTTCCTTCTTCAATTTCAGGCCTATTTGACCAGTGACAATGGAAGCAAGTTCTAATATGATTAACAGCACAACTGATGAGAACAATCCAAAAGATACATGCAAGAATATATCTGAAATTTGAAGGGACGATATTGATCCAGATTAATCAATATGTGAAAATAAAATCTCAATCACAATAGTTTTGTGCTTAATTACAGGAGATCAAAAGATAGATATACTCCTGAGAGTCGGCTTATCTGTTGAGGCCACTAAAACAAAAAATTGAAAGACTTTATCTCAACCTTTCATGTGACTTCATGGTATTAATCTAAATTATGTCATTGATTCCATGTTGAGTAATAATTTTATATTTTGTAATCACCTAGGAATCATGATCGGAAAGTAGGATTAAGGTGGGTCTTTGAACGCTTTTTTTATTATTGAGATAAGGTTGGCGACTTGAGATGAGAGAGAGAGAGAGAGAGAGAGAATCCATAACGTGTTTAGTATATTATATCATATTTATACACATACGTAATCCTCAATGAAGATGAGAAAGCGCCTTGATCATATTGCCCTTTTCTTTTATTGGTAGAATTGCCGGAGGTGATCAGCGTCAATCGAAGCCGCAGCGTTCCGCTGCATACTACACGAAGCTGGGACTACCTTGGTCTTGGTTATGAAAAACCCCAATCCACAGGACTACTTCGAAGAGGCAACTTCGGCGATGGCATCATCATCGGAGTTGTCGACTCAGGCAGGCGTTATATATTTCGTTACTGGCATCGAGTTTGTTGATTTGACCGTGTCATGTGAACTTTGTTTAGGCATTTGGCCGGAGTCGAGAAGCTTCGACGACCATGGTTACGGCCCCGTCCCATCCCGTTGGAAAGGAACGTGTTAAGTAGGTCAAAACTTCACCGTCAAACACTGCAACCGCAAGATCATCGGTGCAAGATGGTACGACAGAGGCGTCGACGATTCCGACATCAGCGTAGACTACCGTTCTCCCCGAGATTTTCAGGGCCACGGAACCCACACGGCTTCCACCGCGGCCGGTTCATTCGTGGGAAACGCGAGCTTCCATGGCCTCGGCGCCGGCGTAGCAAGAGGAGGCGCTCCTAGTGCCCGGCTGGCAATATACAAGGCATGCTGGGCAATAGGAGGGTGTCCCGATGCTGCTGTTCTGAAGGCGATAGATGATGCTATCCATGATGGTGTGGACATCTTATCACTCTCACTTAGTGAATTACTTCACCCAATCTTTGCTTCCATACATGCGGTAGCAAAGGGGATAACTGTGATCTTCGCTGGAGGCAACGATGGTCCCGTTCCCCAGACCATTTCTAATGACCTGCCGTGGGTGATCACGGTGGCAGCCAGCACTATCGATCGCTCTTTTCCGACCGACATAATCCTTGGAAACGGACGAACTCTGGTGGTACGTACGAGCCCGCGTATCTCTTACCAGATATTGATCAACTTGAAACTTATAATCTTCATCAATTTGTTCCTAACTGAAGGGACAATCAATGTGCTACGCGTCCAGTGATCCAGGATACAAAGAACTTGTACCTTTTGGCAGGTAACGACTGCCTATTACTGTTGTCTTCTTTGCCTTGGATCTCTTTTCACACGTCTAAGAAGAGGGCAAACAGTAACGTGTACATGTAATCCGTTGTAGTTGCTCAGTGGTGCCTCAATATCTCACGCAATTAGCAGACAAGATTGTGTTATGCTTTGATGCTGCCGGTGAGACCTCCCTGTTGCTAGCGGGATTGACGCAAGCCGGAGCAAGGGGAGCTATTATTGCACGATTCCCGCGCAGCTTGCTCCCAGACTGCAGCGGCATCGCATGCGTCCTCGTGGATTATGATGTAGGCGGACAGATAGCCAACTATGCCAAGGTGGAAAATGCAAGGTCTGTTTCCTTGATTTCCATTCTGATCCCCACCCGCGCCGTGCAGTTAATTTGGGAATCTGACCACGGATAGATTGACAGTGGGAGAATCCCCGTGGTGCGTGTGAGTCCTGCATCTAACATCGTCGGGAACCAAGTGATGTCGCCGAGGGTGGCAGCTTTCTCCTCAAGAGGGCCGAGTATATACTATCCAGACTTAGTGAAGGTATGTACGCAGCTGTAGTTGTCTCTGTTCATGATAATTTTGAAGTCTCCTATAATATATTGCAAAACGAACCCCTCCCAAATCTCAAACTTTGAGAAGCTAAATCATCATCTGCTTGAAAGCAATGATAAAACCAACCATAAATCCTCTGATAAGCACAAGACGCTGCTGAGGGTCGATCGTAGCTCCACTGGAAAATGGAAAAACAGAGCACTGAGCTCATCCTTTACCTTCTCCTCAGCCTGACATCACAGCTCCGGGAGTCGATATCTTGGCGGCAGTGAGAGATGGGTATCAATTTATGTCAGGAACTTCAATGGCTTGTCCTCATGTATCTGGAATTGCAGCTCTTCTCAAAGTAGTGCATCCCCATTGGTCTCCTGCTGCCATCAAATCTGCACTCGTGACAACTGGTTAGTAGATCGACCATCCTGCTTCTGCATCGTTCCGGAGTTCTTCTCTATCTGCTTTCCTGATGTTAAAGTACATGACAACCTCTGTTTTAAGCTCATACGGCCAATGCATACGGCTTCCCCATAGAAGCAGAGGGAGTTCCTCGAAAGCTCGCCGATCCTTTCGACTTTGGCGGCGGTCACATCGATCCTAACAAAGCCGCTGATCCCGGGCTTATTTATGATGTGGATCCCGAAGACTACTTCAAGATCTTCATCAGTACTTACGCTCGATCGATCACTTGTGGCTTGCTGGACAGTCGGCTGTATCACCTGAACCTGCCCTCAATCTCTATTCCCGACTTGAAGAAAACACCACTGACGGTGTGGAGAACCGTGACCAATGTGGGGGACACGGATTCCATTTACAGGGCAATGGTGGAGTCTCCACCGGGTGTTAACACGGTGGTTGAGCCTTCTCTTCTCCTGTTCAATGCTTCCACGACGACGCACACCTTCGCGGTGACCTTCACGCCGCTTATGATGGTGCAAGGGGACTTCAACTTCGGAAGCTTGACATGGTTTGATGATGGGAAGCACGCAGTAAGAATTCCTATCGCAGTTCGAGTGATCATTCATGATTTCATCTCTGATACCTCCTAAGGCTTGTGGAGGCATCCACTCTATGTCGAGTACCATGGCAATAAGTTAAATGTTGAAGTCGTATGGAGAATAAAAATTAACATGGTACGTTGCTCCTGTACGCTTCAGTACTTAGCACCGACGTCCGATACATGCTGTCAGGAAATAAAAATATAGCTTTGAGGGACTCCATTTTTTCATAATAACTTATAATTTGAAAATCGATCAACTATTTTAGAAGGAAATAATTTAAATGAGAGCATGATGAAATTAAGATATGATAAAAGTATTAAAAATATGTAAATATTTAATTAGAAAAACGTAAACGAAGCTATAATTAGCAATTTCATGTTTATGACAAAAAAAATCCAAGCTTTCGATATGCATATTTATGACATCAAATTAAACTCGTTAATTTAATTCCCAAAAATTTGCCTGCACCTCAATTAAAATAGACGTTCACATTCTAAATATATGTATACTCTAGTAAGCTTGATTTGTTGGAATTAACGTGGCTCGGGGATTTAAAGAAGAATAATCTTTGTATATGAACAAATACTAGAAGATCATAATACGCAGCGGAATTAAATAGAAGCACAATCAAACAGAACACTAAGATATACGTGAAAAACCCCTTCAATGTGAAGGGTAAAAACCACGGGGCAAACTAGAGATAATCCACTATGAAAATAATGAATATACAAATCTCAATATCTTGCCCTAAACCCTAGTAACAACCACAAGAGAATAACTAGGATACAAGAATCATGTCACTGCCCACAATATCTAAAACCTCCCCAAGTAATCACAGCAAGAGTCTATTGTAGATTTGATCTAACCTGAGATGAGAACACTGCTAGATGATTGAGAACAGTCTCTCTGCGTTGTCCTTGTCTTCTTCCTTTTCTTTCTCTTCCTTTTCTGCCTTGTTCTCCTTCTTCTCTTTGGAATCCCATGGCTCTCAAGATCTGCCTCGTTGTTGCCTTTTTATAACCTTTTTCTGCTTCTAAAACTCAGCCACCACACCCCCCTAATCTTAATTAGGGTTAGGTTAAGAGGGGGTGTGGACTGTGGGCTGCCCTAGCCCACATGAGCTGAATATGGGCTATCAGCCCAACAACCTCCCCCTTCAGCCCATAAGGGAAGCTGTCCCATGACTCCTCAATGTGAAGCCATGCCGACCAGCTGTCGGCATATCTCCTGTCTTTCTTTGCATACCTCTATAGTAGCAATATATTCTACTTCTGTGGTAGAGAGAGCAATACACCTTTGCAACCTGGATTGCCATGACACAGCTCCCCCTGCAAAAATAAGTACATAACCTGAAGTAGACTTTCTCGTATCTATATCTCTTGCCATATCTGTATCTGTGTAACATGTCAACACATGTGGTCCACCTCCAAAGCTTAAACAAACCTTAGAGCTCCCTCTAAGATATCTAAAAATCCACTTCACTACTGCCCAGTGCTCTTTGCCTGGATTTGCAA